GATTACGGTTGCTTGCAAGTATCTCCACTTCAGATGAAAATTACGTTAAAATTTAAATTCCTAGGTAAGCCTATAAAGGGAAAGCAGTCACTTTAAAACTATTTTATGGAAGGTGGAGCTTTCCTACTTTGAAATCTCGTTGTTCTTGACATTCTGTGAATGAAGAACCAACCAGAAGCACAGAGGACACTCAATATTCCAGTGCTCCCTGCCACTGCACAAGCCACCCCGCTACCTCAACAATGCGAGAACGGACACATTCCTAGCGCCTCCCACGGTCCTTACCAGCGCAGGTTCTACCACTAGACATTCGCGGGAATTACTGTGCCTTGACTTCTAAAAGTAGTCATGGGAAAGGGCAGAAAGGCTCAGCAACAGTAATAGATTGTGCTTCTGCACATCAGTGTCAGAAAAAAAGACGACTCTCAAAGACAGGAATGAGAAGACAAAGAGGACCAAATAGCCAAAACTGATCCAGAGTTCTTCCACCTACCATAAAGTCATTGTACCTCTAATAGAAATTAAGTAGAACTCAGACTTTATTAGGAAAAAGCTCAAAAATATTTTATTCAAAGGAAAACACGCATCATTGTGTGATTAGTCCATCCAGGCTTCAATACTTCAATACTTCTCTATCTTGCCTTCAGATTATTAAAAAATCTGGGTTTAAAGACTCCAAGAGAAATCAAAACCGCATGCCACAGAAAAGAGTTTCTAAGCGATGATATAATCCAGCTCCCGTCTTCTGAAAGTAGGGTCACTAAGGCCTGAAGTTATATGTATTAGCTGAACTGTGTCTCCCTTGAATTCATATGTTTAAGTCCCAATACTTTAGAATGTGACCATATATGATTGTGGAGATAGTATCTTTACAAAGTAATTAAATTAAAATGAGACCATCAGGTTCCATCCCAAGCCAATATGAGGCGGCACCATTATAAAAAGAAGTCTGGATACAGGCATGAAAGGAAGACCCTGTGAGGACAGAGGGAGAAGACATCTACCTCCAGGCCAAAGGGAAAATCCTGGAACAGACTCTTTTTCCCTTGAGGCCCTCACCGGCAGTCATGACCTCGACCTTGGACTCATTAGACTCTAGAACTGTGGGGCAATAACCTTCTGTATTTCAAACCACCCAGTCTGTGGTTCTTTGTTACAGCACCTTGGCAGACATCATGCTCTCTGCCTTCCTGTGTTGCCTTGAACCTATCCTCCAGGTTCTAGAACCTTGCCGCATCCCAGACAATGTGAATAATTTACCTTACTTGCTTCTTCCATTGAACCTCTAACCAATGGACCCATTTGTCACAATAGTCCTATAGCAGCATTACGAATCTGCTCTTAACCTTGAACCTAGACCAGCACCAACAGCAAGGTTAACTTGGTTAATACTCATGTACACGCCCCCCCACAGGGAGCATGTCTGATGGCCAGTTTCACTTTCCCTGCTGCCTTCCTGGCACTGTGTCTTACCCCTTTCCTACTCCCTCCAATTCAGGGTCTACCAGAACCAAATTCAGTGTCATTGACAACTTTGCCTTCTTCCATAGCTCTGTCCCAACTCTGTCAAACGTCTTCAATCCCATGCAACTGAACACCCACTTTAGACAACAAATATTTTTAGAACTTTTCTTTGCCTTTGTTACTATGAAATATGTAATAAGATGTATGTATATTCAAAATTTCAAATATTTACACATAATTTCAGATATGTTCATCTATATCTACCTAAAATAGATCTATGGATAAATGTGCAATGCATACAGATAGGTATATGAAAGTGTGGCTTTACTACTATGAAATGAAATTGATAGATAATAAGATAAATGCACACACATAATTTCAAATATTTGTATTTATAATTTCAACATATTCCATCTATATGTAACTGAAATAGTAAAGAGAAATAGAAGGTAGCTTATAATACAACAATCTCTTTAAATATAAAATAAGGAGAACTATATTGGAAACCATATTAAAGAGTGGTATTCATAACTACATGTAGAATCAGCATAAACACAACCACTACAAATGCAGGCTGACTCAAGGGTATTACATTAGTGACTTTGATAGCATAAACAGTAATACCATTAGTCACATGATTTTTCTGAAATATGAACAACTTACAGTAATGTTCTCAATGAAACACCATTCTATTTTCCCTAGATTTATAATGAAGACGGATTTCTGGGAAATTTGGCATGTATTAAACCTATGCACAGCACGCTTTTTGATTACATGTGAAACAACTGAGGGTTATAAGCTCAGAAGAATGTAAACAAGTTTTTCTCACTTCCATGAATGCCTGGAAGTTTATTCAAAAGCTTTGTAGAACACAAGACAATTATTCACAGTATTAAAATAGGAAACAACATTTTTTTCCCCTAAAAGAAGCAGATAATACATACTTTATCTGTTTGGGGCTGTGCAGTGGGCCACGAGTCCACAACTCAGAAAGAAGCCACAGGAAATACATAAATAAATGGAACCGACTGTGCTCAAACAGAATGTTACTCCCAGAAGAAGGCGGCAAGCCACAGAGAGCAGTACTCTCTTAGCAGAAGATCTCATGGACACTGTAGATGTCCAGCTCCCACTCACTAAATTTCAGTGCACTGTCTGACCACTATAGTAACAAAAACACCTCCTTCGGACCAATAACCATCCCACCCGGGTACCACCAGTAACTGAGAATCCTGATCTAACCCAGTCCTATTCACTGCTCTCGGCAAAGACATTGCATTTTCTGATCTCTGCCCCCTTTCCATGCCTATCTGGAATGCAGCTTCCCAATCTTCTCTTCACTGCTTATGTATCTTATTCCTAATTCAGGTTTGAGCTGATAGCTTACCTCCCTTCACCAATGGAGGACTTTCCTTAGACTCTACAGTACTTCAGAAATGATTTGGCATAGTATGCCACGACATATTAATTATCTGTATCTTCTGTTGGCCACCTGAAAGCAGAGCTCTTGAGGACTGAGAATATATCTAATATTTCACCATATTTGTAGACTCTAGCTTAATGATGTTCTGTAATTCACTCAGTGGTTATTACAGAGTGATTACTATGCTGGATGGTGAGGATAGAAGGTTCCTGGCCTCAACAGGACTATGTATGAATAGAAAGAGACATAAACCATTTCAAATTCCAACAAGAATGATAAAGCAAATAAATAGAGCAAAGCATGGTGAGTAGAGATTGCTAAGATAATGGTTAGCTGCTATTTTAGGCAGGATGGCCACAGGAAACCTCTCTGGAAAGAGGATATTTGAACTGACACCTGGAATATAAAAAGACCAAGGGAAGCACAGGGCTGCCAGAGGGAAGAACACATGTGAAATCCTGAGACAGGAAACCTGTGACACGGCTGAAGAAAACCCAGGCATGCAGTACGTGAAAGAGTTTTAATCGAAGGGACTGATATAACATAATTTAGGTTTTTAAATAGATGATACCAGTTTCAGAGTAGAGACAGAACGCAAGGGCAGGAGTGGAGAGGACATGAAGAAGCTGGGGCCAAGGTCTAAGGAAGAACTGACGATCCCTGGACTAAGGGAGGGGCTGACTGGTGCTATCTGAGGACAGTTCTGAGGTTCACAGAAATAACCAGCAGGACTTGTGCAGGATCTAGACTGAGAAAGGGGAATGCTAGATGTTCTTACTAATGTAGGAAGAGTATACTTTGGAATATGGTGCAGGGACCACAGTTCCGTCTGAATGTAAATCTGAGGTAATTGTTAGACGTACAACTGATTCTTAAAGGACTGAATCAGCCTTGCATTCCCACAGTGAGCTGCACTTGGTAGTGATGTATTGTTCTTTTTATACATTACCAGATTCGAGAGGAGATGATACACAGGCAGAGAATACATAAAAAGGGATGGAGACAAGTTCTTATCTACAGAGATGTGTGTATGTCGTTTGGTAGTTTATAGTTGCCATTTAATCTCATGAAATGAATAAAATCAACCTAAGAAAGAATGTCCAGAGGTAAGAAGGTCCTTTCCTGTCCTGAAACACTCCAAAGTTTAGAGAAAAAGCCATCACAAGATAAAGAGAAGATGTAGCTATTTGAAAAATCTGGTGTCACAGAAAGAGCCATATGTTATCTGATTAAAAGTTGGGTAAAGCAGAACAGTGAGCTATATTTCTGATTTGGTCATAAGAGGGAGACTGGTAAAACTAAAAATCTGTACTTTTAAGAATGTAGTAGGGCCAGGGATATAGCTCAGTGGCACAAGCACTTGCCTGGCAAGCACAAGGTCTTGAGTTTGATTCCTGATACCAAAAAAAAAAACCCAGTGTAGTAGAGGTAAAGCTACTCATCATATCTAGGAGTTATGAACCTGAACTGAAAAGTTTCCACCAAGGAGAGAAGATATTTTTTTCTTTGTCAATTACAGAAACTTTTCTACAAAGAAATTAATAAAGAGACAATTTTATCTCACAAAAATTAGAATTTTATATATAACAACTATAGCATAAAAGAAGTTTTTATAAAAATGGCACAGGAGGGAAAATATTGCAACATAAATGGCTCAAATACATAAAGAGCATGTATTAATATGAAAGCCAATAGAAAATACAAGGGCAAGAACAAAGAAATCATGAAAGAAAAAACTGAGATGACTTCACAAGATTGTATGATCCTCTTGTTTTTAAGAATTTCCCACAAAAGGCATGAATGTAATGTTACACTAGTAATACAGCTTAGAAGCTCTTCACACGTATTCAGATGTATAAAATTCCTCAGTGTCCTAGATAGCCAGGCCACCAACGCACCACATTCTTCCCCATGTCAAAACCCACAGCAGGATGGCCTTTTCTTATTTCACAGGGCCTGAAACGATTCTAAAAGGTACCGGTTCGCTAATTTCAGCTTCTACGTCCAATGGGAGATATAAAAGTGAAATTTTAACACTCCACAAACGCGGCGATGTTATTTACACAGCTACGAGCACCGCAAAAAAGCAAAGGTGCCAAGTGCAGGGGCCTACCTTCCCTGATGGCCGTGAAAGGTGTCCCCTCTTCCTCCTGCAGCCTGATCACTTTCAAGGCTACCAACTTTCCATTCACCCTGTGGGAGACAAAAGAAAAAGAATTTGCAAACACATGTGCTTATTATGGTCCTAATTGTCTTCCTTACAATTTTTATTTTATGTAACTTTGCACTGGAAAGGATAGTGACTCAATTATATCACTACAGCAAGACTGATCTCAGTAAGGCTTGCAATTCTGTATCATCATCATAAATATCCATATGTTAAATATTCACACTTGCATAGGCCAAGATTTAAATGAGGTTTTCTGTGATTCATTCTGTTCCTTCCAAAATGAAACTAGTATTTAACAAAATCACATCTGACAATTATTCTCAGATTAACTAAAAATCGAACAGTCAAAATAACCCTTTTCCTTTGTTTCTCAATAGCGCTTTCCTTGTTTCTTTTGCAGAAATGTCTTCATTGTCATTCTTCACATGAAGTTTTTCAATCCCCAAGGACAAATACTTGACACTTAGCACATGTTCTCTCTCTCTCTCTCTCTCTCTCTCTCTCTCTCTCTCTCTCTCTCTCTCCCAACTCATCCCCCCATTCTTCCTACTTTTTTTGTACACTAAAATCTGTATAATTTTTCCTAAAATTACATAGGACTTGGTTGTGTTTTATATTGTATCATAAGTAAAGTTAGGAATATACTCTTACAAGACTCCACAGACCTATCCAAAGCAGATGGTTGTTCCAGACATACCCTAAATGTGTCAGCTCTAATTAAAAGCAAGTTTGTACTGTGGAGATAACTTTTATCTAGTAGATTCTATCAACTACCAAAGACATGACTATTCACACCAGCCTTCCCCCGATTGCTCTATTCTCCGCTTTCACTAGGCCTAGTTTTTTGTTGTTGTTGTTAATTAAAATAGATTTTGTTAAAAGTACATATAAAAAATATGTAAAGTACAATAAGTCATTTAGTGAAAAGTAAATCTCCTGGCCACACCCTCCTTCGGCCACCCCACTCCTGTGCTCTGAGGTCATCATTTACCACTGTTTATATATTTGCAGATCTAGGACTTCCATATATGTATGCATTACACAAATGTGCATACACATGCATAATATATACATATTATACATACACACACACATAAATGACAGTATATATGACAGAATGCAGTCTGTACTGTTTCTGTCACTTAATACATCCCAGGGATCTCCTTACAAATTCACAGAACACTGCCTCTCACTTTTGAAAGCCCACAAGATGTTCCCTTGTGTAAGTGTGCCACATTTAATATAATCCTACTCCTCTACTAGACAGGCATTTAGCTTATGCCCCATTTTTTGTTATAATGGTGATGCAAGGAATATTCTTGTACACCTACAGGTAACTTCCATGGGTAACTTTATGCCAGATAAAATGTCTGTATGATAGCTTTCTAAAAAAAGAACCGATTTTGATAAATATTATCAACGTTCAGTCAACATTTGAGTCTGTCACTCTGATAAGTCAAAATGGTTTCTTGTTTTTGTTTAATCATTTGTTTATTTCCATCCCGGTGATTAAACCCAGATCCTCTACTGATGTTAGCTAGCCTGAGCTACACCCACCGCCCTCCGGTTCCAAGTTAAATTGCTACCAAAGGAAGATTTTCAGAGGTTAAGGAAAGGAGAGCTCACGTGGCCAAGAGAATCCAGTGCCTGAATCTGAAATAAAGAATTTGAATGTCTCTTTAAAAAACTGTACCTCATTGATCCGTTTTTGCTCAAAAATCACCACAAACACAAAACCCAAAAAGCCAAGGAATTTATCACAGTCTCCCAATCCCAGTTGTATTTCCCGTTGAACTAACTGTTGAATCCATTATTAGGGGTTACAGGAATTCGACAAGGACGTGTGGTAACAGGGCCCCACAGAGTGCCGTCTCCTTGAGGGTGAGCTGTGCGGTCTCCCTATGCGTCAGCCAGGAGGACAGGCCTGCTGCTTTTCTGCTCTGCAGCCCCTCCTGAGCACATTACCTCGATGCGCTAGTTCTGTCTGTGCTCAAGGTAACAGGTGCCCGCACATACGACTGCGCCTGTGGGTTCAGCTGGAGACTGTACCCTGCCCTCCACGCTTTGTCCTTTAGGAAGGAGGAAGCCTTTGGCAGGGCTTGAGGCTGCAATGCAGCCAGTGCTGACATCTGCACAGATTTTTCTCAGCCCAGTTGAGCTCATCCCTGGCTCCCTGAGGAGGCAGTAGCTGATTCCAAGAACTGCTTGGAAATTTCCCCTCATTTACAGATATTTTCCCCTCACCCATAACACACACACACACACACACGCTTCCTCCCACAAAGCTCTCCATTTTCCTCGAGAAGCATAAACTTGTATGTACAGTGAGCTGGGAATGCAGGGACACTCTTGGCCATAAAGCCATGACTGGCCTATTACACAGTGGAAGGAGCCCAGCCACCCATGGGGTCAGCACTCTCTAAATGCAAGTAATTAATAACAGGGCCCCTTTAAGTACCTCTCAGGCTAATCTGCATCATTTTTGTGGTGAAAACTCTTTCAAACTTAGTCCCTGTAACTGCATGAAAGAACAGGACCCAGGTGGGTGGAATTCCAATTCTGAACCCTCCATGAGATAAACCTCCAACCACTAGATGTTTTACAGGTTGTGAAAATGGCAACATTTGATGTCACTGAGATTTTATTCATTACAACATGTGAAACTAAAACTTTGAGCTCCAGGAGTGAAGGGACTGCTTTGTTAACTGCTATGTAACCTGTATCCAGAACCTTCCTAGTTCAGAGTATGCTTTACCAAATGAGTATAATTAACACACTGACATACATCCAAAATAAATCCAGAATAAAGTATAGAAGTTATTTCCCAAAAAATTACAAGTGCCAAAATTTTATAAAGCTCTAATCATCTCCTTCCACTGTTTTCTTTTTTCTCAGAGTAAAATTTCGGTAGTTTGTTTTGGTTGCATGTACAGAGAGACAAGTTTCCACTTCTTTGAAGTTTTAGAATCTGTAGAATGCTTTGTTAATTAACCTTCTTACACTCAACAGAAATGTTTGGAAGCAATCACCATCCCTTAATAATCTGGGCACAGACCACTAATCAGCATTCTTCCTCTCTCCAATTGCTTCATTGGTTTCCTATTAAGAATCATATTGATCATCAAATTGCTCTTTAACCTAAGAGTCACTGTAAATTTCCCCTTTCTTAATTAGTTTTTTGCTACATGTCTGGATACTCACCAACTGCTGAGGTGCCCAGTTTTAAAGCCTAGTAAACATATTAAGCAACCAGCTCTACTTTTGGAAAAGATGCCTTTGCAAAAACTACCACTACAAATTTCCTAATATTCTACTTTCATTACATTTATATTTTAAACTCTAGTAGGGCCTGAAAATTTTTAAATTCTAAGTTACTTATATACAAATGCCCATTCTTAGAGATATCAAAATAAATGATAGTCTGTAAACATCAAAATGAACATTTTATCTTCTAATTATCTTGTAGATTTAAGCTATTTTATGAAGGCCCAACACATGTAATTCCAACACATAATTCAAACACTGATTTAAGTAACTTAAAGTAATTACAAAATTCAAACTGAATCAATAAATTAGGGCTGTTTACAGAAAAACACTGATGATTCCTCTTTAACAAGTCTTATTAATTAAATCAAAAGTTAATGAATAGAAAGCAATCAAGGTTTGATTGCCAATGCAGACATTAATTCAGGTAAATAACAAGGTGAAAAACGCACTTGAAATTGTATTCATATCATCACAGATGGTATGAACGTTTCATTGGAGATGCTGCCAAACCTGCCTCTAGTTGTTTTAAGCTAGGTAAAGAGCCGTTCTATTTCAGAGATTCTCCACTGTTCTTCTATCCTTCTAACAATTGCTATGCCCAGCGAGGCCTCACTTCAAGGCGCACTTCCAGCCTAGGGAAGAGGTGACTAGTTTCTTGAGTATGCCCAACACATGGGACAAAACTCAAGGGGACACAGGGCAGAGCTGCAAGCACAAGGGAGACAACTCCACGCACAACGACATGGGGACACAGAAACACCGGGTGAAGCCACACCCAAGTGGGATCCAGCTTTCAAACTCATTCTAACTGCAAATCCAAAGCCCTGCCAACTGCAGAAACTTTACCCACAATTCTGTATGCTCTAATTTTGTAGATACACAAGGTAGAAAGAAAGTGAAGCAGCTCTGATTAAGGAGAGTAGCCTATTCAGTTTATCATCCTTTTGTTCTTTCTTCATTCAATGGCTTGCAAAACCTATAAAGGAAAACTCACTTTGTCTAGCATACATTTACCAGTTTCAAAATTATCATGCTCAAAGAGAATGTCCTTACAGATAAATAATTCTCAAAGGAGAGCCTAAAGGTTTTATATTCCATTAGGTACCTCAAATTAATAGGCTAACCTAGTACAATGAAACAAAATTACAAATATTATCTAGGTCATCTTTGAAAATAGTGTCCACAAGCTAACACCTAGAAGAAATTATGTTACAGGATATAAAGGAAATTAAACCAATATACCTAAAAGAAATTTAATATACTCTGGGAAATCTAATATATTCTGTCTCTCTCATCCATTATGATTTTGTCTCTAGAGAAGCTGTTAAGAAAAATAATACCAAGTACAGGCAAAGCATGGTTTGTTTTCTTGCTATATTGGTAGAGGAGCAATATAAGGAAATGTAGATGCCACCAAGGGAGTGACAATAACAAGCTGTAGTATAGCTAGGGAAATATTTTGGACTGTTTATGAATCTTTTTTAGCAAACTTGTTAAAAATATTTGAAAACTCACACTGTGATTTATTTACTAGTAACTTTTTTTAAAAAGTAGTACTCTGTACTACAAACATATTTCATGGCTGGGGATATAGCTCAGCAGCAGAGAGACAGCCTGGCAAGCGCAAGGTTCTGAGTTCAATTCTGGTACAAAAAAAAAAAAAATATTTCAAAGGCTAAAAGCCTAACTAAATAGTCACGTCCTTTTCATTGTCATCTGAAATATTTTTATGCAGGTGTGAATGAGAAGTCATCTC